TGTGCCACTGCCCTCCAGCCTGGGTGACAGAGTGAGATTCCAACTCAAACAAATAAAATACCTTGTTAATCTAGTTTGTGGAGTTTCCAGACAATTTTCTTTCTTTCTTTCTTTTTTTGATTTGTTGTCTCACTCTGTCACCCAGGCTGGAGGGCAGTGGCACAATCATAGCCACTGCAGCCTCGACCTGCTGGGCTCAGGCAATTCCTCTACCTCAGCCTTCCAAGTAGCTGGAACTACAGGTACACGCCACCACACCCGGCTAATTTTTGATTTATTGTAGAGATGAGGTCTCACCAAGTTGCCCAGACTAGTCGTGAGCCAAAGCACCTGGGTGACAATTTCATTTTATATAAAAGCAGTTTTCTTTTTTGAGTTGGAGTCTCACTCTGTTGTCCAGGCTGGAGTGCAGTGGCATGCTCATGACCACCACAGCCTAGACCTGCTGGGCTTAGGTGATCCTTTCACCTCACCCTTCCAAGAACCTGGAATTACAGGCATGTGCCACCACACCGGGCTAATTGAAATGATTTTTTAAAAAATTGAATACTTGGCCAGGCTCGGTGGCTCAGCCTGTAATCCCAACACTTTGGAAGGCTGAGGAGAGTGGATTGCCTGAGCCTGTGGGTTCAAAACTCTCCCGGGCAACTAGATGAGTTCTCATCTCTACAATAAATAAAAAATTAGCTGGGCATGGTAGTGCGCGCCTGTAGTTCCAATTACTTGGAAGGCTGAAGTGGAAGGATCTCCCGAGTCCAGCAGATCACAGGTTGACGTTGGGGCGTCTGTGAGCGTGCCACTGCACTCCAGCCTGGACGACAGAGTGAGACTCCACTCAAAAAATTAAAAAATGGAAAACTTACCAGGGAAGTTATAAGGAATATATTATCATTAGGAATTTACTATATGCTAGACATGCTAAGTGTTTTTTTGTTTTTGTTTTTGTTTTGAGTTGGAGTCTCATTCTGTCACCCAGACTGGAGTGCATTGGCCGCTCCCAGTCACTGCAGCCTCGACCTGCTGGGCTCTGGCGATCCTTCCGCCTCAACCTTCCAAGTAACCGGAATTACAGGCACGCGCTACCACGCCCAGCTGATTTTTTGATTTATT